ACCCCTCTCCGACCTACACCCCCACCCCTCTCCGACCTACACCCTCTGACGGACATGCACCCTTGTTAGCACTTGCTAGCACGTGCCAGCACAATCATGTCCGTCACGTAGTGATTCACATATTGACACACGTAGTGAGGTTGGTGCGACATGCAGTGGGTGACACAAATGGGGTAGAGTAAGATGGTAGGGGGGGGTATAGTATACCGCTGTCGTGTACGCTGTAGAGTACACTTGTAATAATAACCCGTTCGTTCGCAGGTGGGACCTTGTAGCCAGAGCCTGTGTCGTCCGAGGGGAGAAACTTGTGATGCGGCTCTCCTGAAGTCTTCGGCTACCACCGAGAGTACTGCGACCGATTTGTGCGTACTTCAGCAGACTCCTTCATCCGAAGAAGATGAAGACCTGAAGTCGTCAGATACTAGCAAGAACACAACGATCATGCTTAGAAATATTCCCAATAAATACACTCAAAAGATGCTGCTCGAAGTTATCGATGCGGACTTCCAAGGTGACTTCTCCACCACCCCATTTCGGGCACCCCATTTCGAACACCCTCCACATCACCCACCCTCACTCATTTCGAACACCCTCCACCCTCCAGGCACTTTTCAACACCCCGAATTATAATTCTTAGGTCTGTATAATTTCTTCTATCTGCCTATTGACTTCAAGAATAAATGCAATGTTGGATATGCATTTCTGAATTTCATTGAACCCTATTATTGTGATCTGTTCTGGAAAAAATTTGCCGGTAGAAGATTGACTGGTTTCCGATCACGAAAAGTTTGCGATGTTTCATGGGGGAGGGTTCAAGGATTGAAAAGTAACATTGAACATTACCGGAATAGTTCTATTATGTCATTACCATGCCAAGAATATAAGCCACTCCTGTTTAAGAATGGGGTTATAGTTCCTTTCCCTCCCCCAAACTCTCAACAGAAACATAAACAAGAAACCCCATCTACACCCAACTAAATTCATCAATGAAGACCTACACAGGATCTGACTAGACATGGCTGACTAGATCGACACACCGACACACCGACGGACCGACACACCGACACACCGACACACCGACACACCGACACACCGACGGACCGACACACCGACGGACGGTCATCATCCTCTACCTGCTTATCAATTTCATTCGGTCTATTCTGTCAAAGACCTTGTTCTAGAAGGTCACTAGTGATACATTTGATTCGTTTCGAGTCCGACCGAGACTTCGAAGTTGCCAGAAATTGCGCGTGCACACACTCGTGTACCTTCCCGCTTAAACCGGATTGGTCGCTGTATGGATTGCTGTATGTATCACTTGAAATATTGCTGTGGTCCGGAAAGATTGTTAGCATCTCTCGAAGCATTTCAGAATGGTCTTGAGAGGCGGTGAGATGACAAGTTCGTCTACGTTGAGTTCACGGCTGGTGTTTTTAAGCCAGCTCTTCCACAGACTTTGACCACAGCTAAACTTAGCATAATGCGAGGTCGCTGATGCTTCATGTTGTAACAGCATTTCCCAAACGTCGTCAGAAGATGAATGGCTTCGGTCCGAAGCTAACCTGTCCAGAAGGATTTCAACCCATGTTGATAAGTCCGTTCTGAAACGAACCATTGTTGTTAAGAGTCCTACAGCAGTCAGTGGGCGCTGTCATCCATGTCAGAGACGTCCTGTGTAGGTCAGCCGTGTGCTTGAGGAGGTTCCTTGTGCACATTGTGGTTGTGCACATTGTGGTTGTGCACATTGTGGTTGTGCACATTGTGGTTGTGCACATTGTGGTTGTGCACATTGTGGTTGTGCACATTGTGGTTGTGCACATTGTGGTTGTGCACATTGTGGTTGTGCACATTGTGGTTGTGCACATTGGGGTAGTGCGCATTGTGGTTGTGCACATTGGGGATGATGACCAGACATGTGACAGCATCGGGCGCCGGTAGCGGGGTGGCCGATAGAACCGGTGTGAGTTACTTGATCAGGTATCTTGGCAAGGAGTACACGATGTTATTTTTGACGACTACTTTATAGTTCAAGTCTGTAATTGTTTTACTCGTGATAATACGGGACAGATCCAGAGGTGGTACAAGATCTTGCACGACAGTACACTGAGGTAGAATCACGTTCTTCACAAAAGACCCTATGTTGGCTGTCACGATATGATTTGGGCTACCCAGTACAAAAGTTTTCATATCCGCTGTACCGATGAATTCCAACTGTTTGAATAAGTCCCTGTTACCAAACAAAATATCGCGACTCAACATTGAGTTCGAGCCCACCGACTTTATCACCGAGCTAGGCGCTGCGGAACGTGGCACCAAAGCTAGTCTTTTCGCCGGCGGATTGGGTAAGTCCACTTCGGGAGGGTCGTATAACTCTTTCGCAGGGTCACCTTTAGGATTCCGTTTTTCGTTGCCTTGTAAATCACTATCTCCTATCGGAATGTTATCTCCTATCGGAATATTATCTTCTCCTATCGGAGTCCGTATGTTGAATGCTGTTAATGTTTGTTGGGTCATATTTCTAGACTCTGACTGGAAGTATCCGGGTGCGGATGGTTGCTGGCTTCTTCTTCCTGCTGACTGGCTGAGATGAACGGAATTATTGAGTTCGTTTTCGAGTTGAGTGATAATCTGTCCAATGATATATTGTTCATCTTGAATGGTGACGGATAGTTTTAATCTATCGATGTTGTCATCGATGTGATTTAATGTGATGTCCCAGAATAACACCAAATTGGCGTTACCGTTAATTGAAATAAAGGTTTCGTAAACTTTCAAGACAGCCTTCTTGAAGTTTGACCATAGAACCGGACGGCGGTTGATGAAGGTGATAAATCGGTTATCAGAGACAGGTTTAGCTTTATCCAATATCTCGAATGATTGATTGATCATATATATACCTCTAACCTCTCCCCATCCGGCAGTGAGTTTAATAGGGCGAAGTTGCGAAGGTTGCAGACTGGGAAAGAGCTGGACTAGAGTTTTAATTCTGCTGTCGAAAGACCGATCAGAATATTTGAACGGTCGGAGATACACACTCTGCTCTTCCATAGTTATTATCAAATTAGAATAAAACACTTTCATGTCTGTTAGATATGCTGCTATAGCATTCCTTTCCTGAATAGCATCCTTCTTTTGACGTCGTACACGATGCGTTCTGTATATATTTGTCACCTCTACGGTCGTGCCGATCGACGGTAGACATAAAGATTCAATTTCATTGACATTACCATCTTTATATAACCCCCTGTATCCAAATAATTCTTCCCCCGCTTTAGAATAAATCGTAACGTCCGCCAAATATGTTAAGCAACATAGTGCTTCACCACGAAAGCCAAGCATTAGATGGTTACCATCCTTTTGTCTGTTTTTTGTCGTCGAATGGGGCTTACATAGTCTCTGGAACTCCTCCTGTGGTATTCCATCCCCATCATCTATGACGGTTACTGATCCAAATCCGCCATTAATGATGTTAACTTGAATTTTAGTTGCCGAAGCGTCAATAGCATTATCCACAAGCTCTTTAACGATCGAAAGAGGCCGCACATATACTTCACCACCCATGATCAGCTGGACCGTTCGCGCGTCCAGATCCTTTATCACCGACTCTTCCCAGGGCATGGTCTCCCTCTGCCGGCCATTTTGAATATCCATCCAGATATTCTTTCAGGAATATATCATCAAATAGCAACCATCGCACCCAGGCCGCGATGGTGCTGGACAGCAAGTCCACCACTCAAAAACGACAAGTCCTCGACGCCCAAGACTTGGTCGTCTATGAGGAATATAAACAACCATTCAGCCTATTGGGCACCGATACCAACGCTTCTCCCTACATCCCCTTGACCGAACCTATCTGGCAAACAGCTGCACGAGTCTATCTGAAACAAAAACAGTCATCCAGGAAATTGGACTGGAATCAAGTACTCTTCGTAGACACATATGAAGACCGACAACAAGCATGTCCAATATGCCTGGAAAAGGAATTCAGTACTCATCACAACGGGCGGGG